CTACAAGAAACAGACTTCAACTATATTGATATAGGCAGACTAAAGTAAAGGAATGAGAAAATACACACCATGCAAAGACCAACCAAAGAACAGGGCTGGTTATATTATACATTGAATGCAAAAACATATTGAAGAGCAAAGAAAATTACCAGAAATAATGAGGGGAATTACATAATGAGAAAAGGGCCAATTCAACAAGAAGCCACAGCACTGCTAAATGTATATGCACCTAACAGAGCTCCATACTACATGAAACAAAAACTGACAAAAGAAATAGAAATCAATGGTATAAACACTCAATCTAACAACAGCAGGATTCACATTCTTTTTAAGTACATAAGGAACAAACACTCATGTAAAGCAAAGCCTTACATTAAAACAAAACCGACAGTATAGAAAGTATTACCTCAAACCATAATTAAACTAGAAATTAATAACAAAAGATGGGAAACTCCCTCAACATTTTAAAATCAATTATACTTTTCATTCTCAGAAGTTGAAATTTTTTGTATCTTTCATACTTCAACTTAACATTTTTAAGTTTAGAATCCTTAAACCATTAATTCTATCATCTACGTCATTTTGAAGTCAGCTTCAATTGATAAGATTTCTCTCCTCATATTCTCCAGATCTATGCAGGCCTGACATTTTTTTTAATCTGCTTTATTCACTTTTCAAAGTAAAACTTCTGTTACCTTCCCACTCTTTTCCAACATATTGGGAGCCAAAAATTACTGGCCTAAGATAGTTACACAATCCAATGTAAAAACTGGGCAGAATATCTGAATAGACATTTTTCCAAAGAAAATGTCCAGATAGCCAACAGGTACATGAAAAGATGCTCAACAATACTAATCATCAGGAAAATGCAAATAAAAAACCACAATGAGATATCACCCTCACACCTGTTAGAATGATTATCATCAAAAAGACAAGAAGTAACAAGTGTTTGTGAGAATGTGGAGAAAAAGGAACACTTGTGCACTACTGGTAGGAATGTAAACTGGGGGAGCCACTATTGAAAACAATACGGAGGTTCCTCAAAAAATTAAAAATAGAACTACCATATGATCCAGCAATTCTCCTTCTGGGTATATATACAAGAGAATTTAAATCAGGATCTCCAAGAGATATATGCACTTCCATGTTCCACTGCAGCATTATTTACAATGGCCAAGATAAGGAAACAACCTAAGTGTCCACTGGAGGATGAATGGATTAAAAAAGGGTGGTGTATATTACACAGTATTATTCAGCCATTAAAAAAAAAAGAATGAAATTTTGCCATTTGCAGCAACATGAATGGACCTCAAGGGCATTATGCTAAATGAAATAACTCAGAGAAAGACAAGTACTGTACCGAGCTCTCTTATATGTGAAATCTAAAACAGCAATAACAAAACCAAGCTCACAAATACAGACACTGGTGGTTGCCGGAGGTATGGGGACTGGGGAGGAGGGGGGCAATGGGAGGCAGGGATGGGTGAAGGGGATCAAACAGTAAAAAAGGGAAAAAAAAGAAATTCAATACTAAAAACCCATTTGAAAATACAGCTCTGTGGCCCATCTTGATGGATATAAAATAACACTGTATGAAATATCATTAAAGAGGGAAAATGAAATATAAAATGGTATTTTTAAGACAAGTTGATTATAACTACACAGAATATGTATGTGTACATTAGTAAAGATAAATTATTTTGAATAAAAAATGGTGTAATATTTATTATTTTTGGTAAATTTAAGTTTGGAAAAAATTAGAATGGAAGAAAGAGATGTGCAGAAAGGTCTAATACAAAAAAATTATTTGCATAAGATAGTTGTAGTTTTCCTCATACATCAGTCACCAGTATTTTTGTTCAGTGCACTTTTTTCTGCCTTTCAACTTGGTAAAATGGTAAGATGTAAAAAGAATATTTTTATTCCATGTTTAAGAGGAATGCTATAGCATAAAATCTTTTCTCAGTTATTGCTGATGAGGGAGTGGTGGTAGCATAATGTAAAGTTACAGGTACAGGGCTGTTTAAGGGTAAGCAAAACCTGGTGAAGAGTTGGTTAGTAAATATTTTAGTCTTTGCAGGCCACATGGTTACTGTCTTAATTACTCAATTCTGCTGTTGTAGAATGTAAGAATCCATAGACAATGGGCATGCAGGTTAAGTATAACTGTATACCAGTAAAACTATTCATGAACACTGAAATTTGAACTTCACATGATTTTCATGAGTTAAGAAATACAATTCTGCTCGTGAATTTTTAAACCACTTAAAAATGTAAAACTACTCATAGTTTGCTAGTCATACAAAATCAGACAACAGGCCAGATTTGACCCACAAACCATACTCTGAATAACTTTAGGACTCAAATCATACAGATTATGTTCTCCAACACAATAAAATTTTGAAAAACCAAAACCAAAAGAAAAACTTGGAATTCCACAAATATTTGGAAATTAAACAATACATTTCTAAATTACCCATGAGTCAAAGAAGAAATCACAAGCAAATTTTTTTTCACAAGCAAAATTAATAGAAAGTACTGTGAACTGAATTATAATTAAAATCACAGTATCAAAACGTATGAGATGAGAGGACACCAAAAATGGTGGAGTAGGGAGCTCCTAGGATCCATCCCTCCACTGAAATTATTAAGGTGGCAAAAAAACGTAAGATCAACTTTTTCAGAATTCTAAACCTAATCAGAAACTTACTACAATCAGGACAGTGCTTTAAGAAGAAAGGGGCTGTAAATTTTGTCATTTAAAGAAATCTTATCAGGACACTGCCTAACAACAAAGATAATGGAATGGAGACTTTAGTGACCACATATGACAAGGAATACAGTGTGCAAAAATAGTTTAGACTTTAAACAAGTGGACTGTCACTAAACAAGTGGATGACTGCACCTCACAAGAAGCAACAACACAAACCCTGGGGAGGGGGGAAATATTCTGATTTCCTGAGCCACCATACTATAAAATTCAAAGTGCCTACTTATCAAGACAAATTTTCATTAAAAATTTATTAGGCATGGGGCGCCTGGGTGGCTCAGTTGGTTAAGCGACTGCCTTCGGCTCAGGTCATGATCCTGGAGTCCCGGGATCGAGTCCCGCATCGGGCTCCCTGCTCGGCGGGGAGTCTGCTTCTCCCTCTGAAACTCCTCCCTCTCATGCTCTCTGTCTCTCATTCTCTCTGTCTCAAATAAATAAAAAAATAAATAATAAAAAATAAAAAAAAATTTACTAGGCATGTAAACAAACAAGTATGGCCCATTCACAGAATGAAAAAAGTTAACAGAAAGTGTCCCCAACGAAGCCCAGAGATTAGACTTTCTAAAAAAAATCAACTATCATAAATATGCCAAAGAGCTAACAGAAACCAGGGATAAAAACTAAAGGAAACCAGAACAGCATATCAATAAACAGAAAATAACAATAAAGAGACAGAAATTACAAAAAGGGACCAAATACAAATTCTGAAACTGAAAAGCACAATAACTGAAATGAAAAATTCCTGAATTTTAGAGAGGTTCAACATAAAATTTCAATAGGCTGAAGAAAGAATAAATGACCATGAAGATAGGTAAATTAAGATTATCTAGTCTGAGGGGTGCCTGGGTGGCTCAGTTGGTTAAGCGACTGCCTTCGGCTCAGGGCATGATCCCGGAGTCCTGGGATCGAGTCCCGCATTGGGCTCCCGGCTCTCGGAGAGCCTGCTTCTCCCTCTGACCCTATCCCTCTCATGCTGTTTCTCTCTCTCTCTCTCAAATAAATAAATAAATAAATAAATAAAATCTTTAAAAAAAAAAAAAGATTATCTAGTCTGAGGAATGGGAAAAGAGGAAACTGAAGAAAAATGAAAAGAGCCTAAGAGACAACATCAAGTGTACCAACATATGCAAAATGAGAGGTCCAGAACAAAATAAGAGAATCATAAAGAATATCTGAACAGGGCGCCTGGGTGGCTCAGTTGGTTAAGGGACTGCCTTCGGCTCAGGTCATGATCCTGGAGTCCCGGGATCGAGTCCCGCATCGGGCTCCCTGCTCAGTGGGGAGCCTGCCTCTCTCTCTGACCCTCCCCCCTTCTCATGCTCTCTATCTCATTCTCTCTCTCAAATAAATAAATAAAATCTTTAAAAAAAAAAAAAAATATCTGAACAGCGGCCAATCTACGTAACTTAAAAAATTCAATGAACCCCAAAGAGAATAAACTCAAAGACATCCACAGTGAGATGTAGTATAATCAAACTGTTGAAATCCCCAAAAAGAATCCTACAAGCAAGAAAGGAGAAGCAACCCACCATCAGACATCATGGAGGCCAGAAGGCAGTGCAATGACATATCTAAAGTGCTGAAAAGAAAAAAGCTGTCAACCAACAAATCTGTATCTGATAAAAAATGTCTTTCAAAAATAAAGAGATCAGCTTATGGCATGACAGTATGAGGAGCTTGAGTGACCTGCTGCTCCCCACTGAAACTGATGAAAACTATTTATTTAAAGCCTCTGGAAACTGATCTAAGGACAAACGGCAAAATGAAGAAACATATATTCAAGAACAACTTCAAAAATTCATTAAGAAAGATGAGTCTGTATCTGAACCAAAACCACTGCCTCCCTCCCTCATCTCAGCTCAGGGAAGGGGAATCTCCACTCCAGATTCCTGCAACCAAGAACACAGGGCTCCCTTTCCACCCCTCCCCCCCAGGTCCCATTCAGAGGGCTTTCTTCCCAGGAGTAAGAGAGTTTCTCATCCAGCCCCGAGCTGCCTGTTAATAGGGTTGAATCCTGAGCAAGTGTGGTTGAGAGGCAGGTGTTCCAGCCCTTCCAGCCCCCACTGGTGGAATGTATACTTTATTGGGTGTGGGCATGGAAAAGACCAGGACCCTGATCATCCCTGCCCTGGGTTATGAGGAAAAGCAAACCCAGATGACCTCTGGCTACACCCTCCCCTCCACAAAGTACTGTCACTCAGAGAGAAACTTGCCATTGTTCCTACCCCACCTCCAGAGACTCGGCTCAGAGCTTTTGTTTGAGGGAAGCAGCAGACATTAAAACAGATGGCTCTTAATTTCTTCCCACAGGGACTGACTTCATTTGCAAGAGCATGGAGAAGGTCAAGCCTAAAGGACTCCTAAAAAAACAAGCAAAAGTCAATTAGCAGATTCAAGATACAGAGGCTAAACTGTCGATAAGCTAGTTTGCAGGAGAGAACTGAGGACTAAAACAACTGGGAAGAGCCCACCCAGGGTCAGAACAAATATCAAACACTAATCTCAAAAACTATTTCTTCAAAGGACCCACATTTTGATTGGATTAACTTTCAAAGTAGTTTATGCCCCGGGGCATTATGGAAAACAATTAAACAATTAGTTCCCAGCAAGCGGATCTTGGCTGCTGGGTGTGGTAAGGGAAAGACAGCCCTAACAAAACCAGTCATCCCAGGGTGATTGTGGGCATATTCAAATTGCCCCTCCCTGAGGACCACCATCTGAGGACTAACCTTGTGGGAAAGACGACTACAATGAGATACGACTTCACATCCATTAGGATGACTAGAATTGGATGAAGTCAGATAATGACAAGGTTGGTGAGAATGTAGACGTAGACAAGTTAGAGCCCTCATACACTGTTGCTGTGAACGTAAAATGGTTGCAGCCATTTTGGAAAAGAGTTGGGCTGTTTCTCCAACAATTAAACATAGCTACATAAGACCCAGCAAAAACACTCTTAAGTATACACCTAGAGAAATGAAAAATTATGTCTACAAAGAAATTTGTACATGAATGTTTTAGCAGAATTATTCTTAATAGCCTAAAGGTGGAAACAACCTAAATGTCCATCAATGAATGAATGCATAAACAAAATGTGGTATATCCATAATACGGAACATTATTCCGCCACAAATAGAATGAAGTACTGATACATGCTACAACATGGATGAGCATTGAAGCATTATGCTAAGTAAAAGAAGCCAATCACAACAAACCACATATTATATGGTTCCATTCATACAGAATGTTCAAAACTGGAAAATCTATAGAGAGAAAAAGTAGATTAGTGGTTGCCTAGGGCTGGGCAGATAGGGTTCAAGGAGATATGGGGTTATGGCTAATAAAGTGCATGGACTTCTTGGGGTGATGAAAATATTCTAAAATGAATGTAGTGATGGCTGTACATAGATTAAAAACCACTGAACCGTAACCAGTTTAGGGTTTAACCCAGTTAAACAGGCAACCCAGTTTTAACCCAGTTAAAACAGGTAACTGTACGGTGTGTGAATTATATTTAAATATATCTGTCAAAAGAACTGAAAGGAGAAATTAAGGCATTTGCAGATAAAGAAAATATGAGGGAATTTGTTGCTAATAGACCTACCCTACAAGAACTGCCAAAGGGACTTCTTCAGGCTAAAATGAAAGGAAAATAGAAAGTAACTCAAAAGTGTATGAAAAAATAAAGAACATGGGTAAAGATAACTACATAGATAAATATAAAAGCCAGTACTACTGTGTTTTTGGTTTGCAACTCCTCTTATTTCTTTTCGTATGACTTAAAAAGAAATGGACAAGCTGATCCTAAAATTCATATGGAATTGCAAGGGGCCCGGAAAGCCAAAACAACCTTGAAAAAGAACAAAACTGGAGGAGTGACATTTTGCGATTTTAAAACTTACTACAATCTACAGTAATCAAAGTAGTGTGGTACTAGCATAAGGACAGATACTGAGACAAACAGAATAAATTTGAAAGACGTGAAATAAACCTATACATCTGTGGCTAATTGATTTCAACAAGGATGCCAAGACCATTCAACAGGGAATGAACAGTCTCTTCAACATATGGTCCTGGGACAACTGGCTATGTGCATGTAAAAGAATGCAGTTGGACCTCACACCATATACAAAAATTAACTCAAAAATGGATCAATGACATAAATACAAGAGCTAAAACCATAAAACATTTAGAATACACAGAGATAAATCATGACTTTGGATTTGAAAAAAAATTCTTAGATTTGACACCAAAAGCACATGTAACAAAAGAAAAAAATAGACAAATTGGACTTCAAATTAAAAAAAAATCTGTACACCAAACCAAAGGACATTATAAATAAAGAGTGAAAAATACCTACAGAATGGGAAAAAAACTTCCAAACCATATATGTAACAGTTCAGAATATATAAAGATTTCTTACAACTCAACAAAAATACCCAAATTAAAAAATGGACAATGGACCTGAATAGACATTTCTACAAAGAAAATATACAAATGGCTAACAAGTACATGGAAACATGCCCCAATTCAGTCTTTAGGAAAACGCAAATCAAATCCATGACATACCACTTCAAACATACTAAAATGGTTAATTTTCTTAAAAAAAAAACAAAAAACAAAAAAACAGGAAGTAACAAGCATTGGCAAGGAAGCTTGGTAATTCTACGTTTAACCTACAGCGAAATCGCCAAACTATTTCCCACAACAGCTGCACCATTTTATATCCCAAAAGCAATGTACAAGGTTCCGATTTCTCTACTTCCTTACCAACACTTATTTCCTGTTTTTTTCTTTTAATTAGATTCTGCCTTCAACTTCAAACGGCCCCTGTTTCTGCAATCCAGGTAACAGGCACTTAAAAATTCATCTTTTTTGTTCACTTTTCTTTTAAAAATTTCTCTTCAAAATTTATTTAAAAAAATAACCCATCTTAGAAGTAGTTCACATGTCACAAAAGTTTAAGAAATGCCTGGGAAATATAATCACTGTTTAAAATAATGGTTACCTCTGGGGATAAAGGAAGAAAAGAGATGAATCCAGGAATGGGTACACGGAGAACTTCAACTATCATAGTAATGTATTACTTTTACGTTTGGATGATAAATCAGAGGTTCACTGTATTTTTTTTTTTTTTTTGCATCTCTCATTGTGTTATTCTTTATATGTTTGTATGTCTTAAGTACTTATTTCATAACAGATGTGGAAATCCCCTCAAAAAAGACAAAGAAAAAAAAAGTTAATCTTACATTCCCTCATCACCCCTCCCATCAAAGACACAGGATCATACTAGGTATCTGCAACTTACTTTTCTCACATAACAATCTAACATTCTCTAGATCAAAAGTGTGTAAAGAGGTAAATCTGTTTCTACAGCTGCAAAGTATTTCATAACACGAATGTCCCACAATTTATTCAAACATTCTACAGATGGGGATATACAGGTTGTTTCCAGTTACTCGTCATAAAAACAAACCTGTAAATTTTTTACTGTCTTCCCCAAACATGTTATGTTTAATATAAATTTATTTTCACCAAGAGATTTGAACACGGAAATCTAGTTCTTTTCCTACTCAGTGAGAAATCAAGGTAATAATCCACAAAATAATGTAACAATTCCCCCAAAGAGTACCTGTACACAGACGCACATACCTACCTCTGAACAGAACAATGTGCTTCCAGAACAAATGTTAATATTGCAATGCCCAGAGGTCCTCATCTGAAACATAAAGGGCATTAAAAAACTTTTTTCAATCTAGCCCATGAGTATGCTACAAACTGATTAGTTTATCAAAACTACAACGTTTGCACGCGAAACAGGACGGAGAAAATAAGAGAAAGTAGGTCCAACAGGTTAGGCTGTTCCTGAAAGCGCCCTGGGGACACGAGATCTTTCATTTTGGGCCCGCATGGTGTCAATAAAAACCCATTTAAACGAGAAAAAATGAGAGGAAAACGGCTCAGAATCCCTCCTACGAGCTAATATCCGCAACCGTCTAGCTTCATCAGTGGTGGCAAGGTGACTAAAGAAAGAGAAGTTACTCTCCGATATTTTATAGAGAGGCGAGAGAGAAAAATGAACAGGCCCGCTCCTCCCCCAACTCAGGCCGGCCACGCGATCCCGAAGTGGGTGGCCTTACTAACGGACACTTTTCTAGCTGATGTGAAGCTCAGCACTCACCACAAAACAAAACTTGGCGAGCTTCTGTACTTCCCTCAGATTTGTTCCTTGGCTGCTTTCCACAGCTGGTACGCCGGCACTACTTTCCCTCAGTACGAACGCCGCCATCTTACGTCTCAGATGAGCTCTAGGGGATAGGGCGATAAAAGCCTGGAGTGGGCGTCACAGCCAAATAGGTCCGCGCCCAACCGCCGTGCAATGCTGAAATGGCTCCGCCGGCAACGTGACCCAGCTTCCCTGCGGCCCCTCCCCCAGTTTTCCAGAGCGACTGCGCTTCCTCTTACAGCCTTTATCTTCATCGAAGTTGCCTCGTTCTTCCTCCTTTTTTTTCTTTTTCCACCCCAGATTTCTTTTACCTTTGCCTCCACTCTTTTCTTCTTTCTACATTCTAGTTATCTCTCGTTCTCCTCGACTTTCAGTTACCTCACAGGTGTACGGCATTTTATAATGACAAACCTGTCGTTCTGTTATTTTGCCAAATTATTATAATACTATAAGGTAAGCTGGGGACTGATTTTCCCAATTTTATAGATGAGGAAACTAAGGCCCAGAAGAAGTGAACCGATTTTCCAAAAGCTGCAACAGCTAGTAAATGTTAACAGCTAGAAGGGCTAGGAAGAGAGGACAGAACCTAATTCTTTTTGCTCCAGTGAGCCCCGTGCTGCTAGAGATCAAGGTCTACTTAATCTAACTAAATGAAAAGGTGGGAAAACTGAAGACAGAAATAGGAAGGGTTTGGGCCTAAATTCATACAGTGAGTCAGTGACAAAACTGGATTCAAAACAGGTTGCTTCCTTGTTTAATTCAATAGTAAGCATCTTCATAAAGGGGTTGGGATGCTGTTCTCCAGCCTAAAGCTCCTTTCTCTACTGACTGAGCTCAACCCTGACTCCTTTAAGAAGCCTCTGTATTTATCAAAACGTTTATCTTTTTCTGGCCCTCTCCATGAGGGAAAATACACTAGCTGGATGTGAGCCCCCAAAACACGTTTAAAAAATGAGGCTAAAACTTCTTTGTGAAGCATTGTGCCTGGATGGTGTGAAAGATTAGTGAGGGAAGGTTTGTGCTGCCTAAGTATGGAAAAGACAATTTAGCGGTCCTAATCCCTTTCCAAAGGTATAGTTTCTCTCTCTATTCTAATGTTATCTCTAGCTTTGTGGAAGAACCCGCATAGAATATGCTTATTCTATATCTTTGCATCGTTACTTTTGCTTTTTTTGTTTTGATAATTGTCACCTTCAAATAGAGGTTAATCGTAGAGAATTGTGTAAACTTCTGGGCCTTGATTTGTGGCCATTCTTGTGTAAAACATTGCATGGAGCCAATCTGTGTTGTCAGTAATCTGTGTAGTGAGATGAAGAGGTCTTAGTTTAAGCTTGAGGTGTGTCATTGCCTGGGGTTTAGACAAGTGTGAGCACATCTTGTAAACTGGTAGGGCAAACACCAGGAGTCAATTGCAGAAGGAACTCCTGACCTCTTGAGAAATAACTTATCCCAAGAGAGGAGGGAGTCAGGCAAACAACCTAGGGTAAAGGGAAAATCAATTCTGAGTATTGCAGGGGATGTGGTTGTACTACAAAGTGTATTTATTTTGAGCTAGATAACACAATATCTCTCTACATCAATTTAAGGGTAAGTAGAAAAGTGGAGAGCATTGAGTGAAACCTGTTTCAGTTTTGCTCTGATGACTCCCAGGACTTTTTCTCTCTGGAACAAATGACAATTTGGATTTTAAAGAAATACGTATAAATGAATAATCAGCAGGAAGCATTAGTAGAACAATAGGCTTTTGAAGCTGCTAGTCAATTTTAGGGGGGAAAACCTGATGCACTGTTTTATTGAGTGGTGTTTCAAATTGAGAGGTGCTAGACCCGGGGACTTAGGGGGAGAAAAGCTCTATTAATTCACAGCAAAGGTAGAAACCCCTGCCTCTACTCACTCACATTTCTTCTAGTCTACCTGCCTTGATCCCAAGAAAAATGCCTCCAGAAAACACCAAAGACAGAGTTTGGTGGCTAGGCTACAATTATTTGCTCTTCAAGGCTGATCCTGTTGACTTCCTGGACTCCTGGTCCAGTCAGTACCTGTTCCATTCTCTCTGAGAGCCCAGTTTTCCTCTTTCATTGTAATTGTTTCAAAAGAAAACTGTCTCCTGCAAGGATATAAAATCCAAATAGGCAAAGGAAGAGTTGGGATTTCACCATCATCATCTGGCCATATTTAGCAGACTCTCAGTTGGAGAATTTACAAGCATAATTGCACAGGCAATGATCTCTGGAACAATAGTTTCTCTTACCTTTGCATTTATTTTGTAAGACAAACAAATGAGTAATGAATCTATAAATGACAGTCCAAATAATAGATGCATGCATAGTTAGGCTAGAATACATTAATTTGAAACATGAATTGGGGAAAAGTACAATTTGATGTGGCAAATGAGAGACCAGATATAACAGAATTTGTTCATTCATTACAAACTTGCATGTAGGGGTGCCTGGGTGGTTCAGTCAGTTAAGTGTGGGACTCTTGGTTTCAGCTCAGATCACGACCCCCATGTCGGGCTCTGCGCTCAGCATTCAGCTTGAGATTCATTTTCTCTCCCTCCCCCTCTGCGCCCCCCCCCCCCAGTTCATGCGTGAGCATGTGCTCTCTCTCTCTTTCAAATAAATAAATAAATAAATAAATAAATAAATAAAATCTAAAAAAAAAAGAACTTGCATGTAAAAGAATAGGGCTACACAAGAGGGTGGTAGAGAATACAAATGTGAATGAAACACAGTATTGGTCCACAAGATTAGGTTCAATTTGGGGAGGGGGAAATAAAAGGAGTTTTAAAAGAATTATAAGCAGTATCTTTGTATCAGACACTGTACTATGTACAAGGTGGGAATAAAAGTGAGGTTTGAGTGTGCAAAGAATATGGGGATAAATCTACCATGATTCTTAGCCTCAGGGAATATACGGACAAGTGGAGAAAAATAAAACATGAGGGTTGAGTAATGTTTTTTATTAGGGGACTCAAGGAGATTAAAAAGCATTTAATACATATACTGCATACATTTCACACCTAAAATGATTTATAAGATCATACATTTTGCAAGGCACTGTACTAAGTGATGTAGGGTATGAGAACAAGAAAAAATCTATAAATGTACTTTGAACCACTGAGGGCATTTATATAGAATGAGGATGTATCATGAGACATGTAAAATCACACAGCTTTCTCTGTGTAAAGTTGAACTGTCCTGAAGGTCTTTTTTTTTTTTTTTTGAAATGTAATTCCCATACCATAAAATTCATCATTTCAAAGAGAATGATTCAGTAGTTGTTAGTATACTCACAGATTTGTGTAACCCTCACCACTATCTAATTTCAGAACATTTTCATTACCCCAAAAAGAAATCCCATACCCATTATCACTCATCCCCTTTCCCCACCACAAACAAGTCCCTAGCAAATTCTAATTTATTTTCTGTCTTTATGGTTTTATCCCTTCTGAAAATTTCATATAAATTAAATAATACAGTAGGTGACCTTCTGTGACTGGCTTTTTTTGTTTAGCATAATATTTTCAAGTTTAATGCATGATATAGCATATATCAGTACTTTATTCCTTTTCCATTCCTTTTATGATTAAATAACATCCCATTGTATGGATATACAACATATTGTTTATCCAGTATGTGTGTTTGAATTGTTTCCACTTGTTGGCTCTTATGAATAATGTTGCTATGAACATTTGTGTACAAGTTTTGTGTACACATGTTTTCAGTTACGTTGGGCATATACCTAGGTATAGAACTGCTGGATAATATGGTAGCCCTACATTGAACCCTTTGAAAAAACTGCAAACTGTTTTCCAAGGTACTGTACCATTTTACATTACCACCAGCAAGTATCAGGGTGCCAGTCTCTCCACATCCTCACTAACATTTGTCATTTTAATTATAGCTAGCTTAGTAGGTGTGAAGTAGCATCTCATTGTGTTTTTGATTTACATTTCCCTGATGGCTAACAAGGTAGAGCATCTTTTTTTAAAAAAAAAAAAGATTTTATTTATTTATTTGAGACAGAGAGAATGAGAGACAGAGAGCATGAGAGGGAGGAGGGTCAGAGGGAGAAGCAGACTCCCTGCCGAGCAGGGAGCCCGATGCAGGACTTGATCCCGGGACTCCAGGATCATGACCTGAGCCGAAGGCAGTCGCTTAACCAACTGAGCCACCCAGGCGCCCGTGGGTAGAGCATCTTTGTATGTACTTATTGGCCATTTGCATATCTTCTTTGGTGAAATGTCTATTTAAATCCTTTGCCCATTTTTCAATTGGGTTATTGGTCCTTTACTGTTGAGTTGTAAGATATATATACCTGGATATGTGTTCATTATCGGATATGTGTTCATTATCAGATATGTGATTTGCAAATATTTTATCTTATTCTACGGATTTTTTCAATTTCTTGACATGTCATCTAAAGCACAAAATATTTTAATTTTGATTAAGTATAATTTATCTGTTTTTTCTTTTGTTCCTTGGACTTTTGATGTCATATCTAAGAAACCATTGTCTAACCTAAAGGCATGAAGATGTACACCTAAGTTTTCTTCTAAGACTTTTATAGTTTTAGCATTTACACTTAGATCTTTAACCTAATTTGAATTATTTTTTGTATATTGTGGAAAATAGGGATCTAACTTCTTTCTTTTGCATGTAAATATTCAGTTGTTCCAGCACCATATGTTTAAAAGACTAGGGTTTCTTCATAGGAAATTGACCATAAAATGTGAAAGTTTATTTCTGAACTCTCAATTCTATTTCATTTATTTCTATTTCTAACCTGTCTCTACCACAGATCTTGATTACTGTAGCTTTGAAATGAGTTTTAGAATTACTCCACTTTGAAGTGAGTGCTACAACTTTATTCCTTTTTTCTGGATTGTTTTAGCTATCCTGGTCCTTTGTGGTTTCATATTAATTTTAGGATCACCTTGGCAATTTTTGAAATAATCAAGCTAGAATTTTGATAGGAACTGTGTTAAATGTGTACAAAATTTGGGAGAGTATCAACATCTTAACAATATTAAGTCTTCCAATCCATGAACATGGAATGGATGTTTTCCCACATATTCAGGTCTTCTTAAATTTTTGTCAGTGACATTTTGTAATT